TTGTTTTACTGGTTGTGTGGTGGGGGTTAGGTGATATCCTCTTGGTACCAAGTTACTGAATGTTTTCCAAAGTTACACACTCATTCACTACTTTCCCTTGAGTATCACCCATCAGGTTCTGTCTCTTTTGTGTTTTGATGTCACTTTCACTTGCTTTATGTATGAGTACTGATGGAGTCTGAAAGGCCATTGGCTCCTGATCTGGATTCCTTATTGGCCCTTGAGTTAATTATTGAGCCCTGCTTCGAACATGTGTGAAGGCAGACGGTCTTCAAGAATAGTATAGCTTTTGAGCTTTTGGCAAGCTCCAGTGGTAATGTTTTTTGCTGGTTACTCATAAGTCTACATAAGCCATTAATACAGTATACAGTTTATTACTTATGCATTATAAAAAATAAATGACCAAATATTTTTGTGTATTCAAATATCTTATGTGATCATTGAATTTTTTGGGAGTAATTAAACATTTTTATGTGATATCATGTTTCATTTATTAAGCTAAATTGACATTGTAACTTGTCATAAAATCAGATGTAAAGGTAAGAAATACCTACAGATCAAATCCAACTTAAAAAGACTTCTTCCACCCAAGAATTGCTGTCAGCTTTCACTCCTGAGTTTCATATAAAGGTAGAAAAGTCTGTAAGTGCTCCTGTCCTTTACTTAAATGGTGTACTATTACCTTACTGGCAGCTACTGACGTTGACAAACTGGCAGTGTTCTTTAACTCCTTAGGACAACACCACATAGTACTTGACACTGGTTATGGAAATCAACTTATACAGCCAACAAGCTGTCTTTCATCCTGAAGAGTTTATTTCCAGAACACAATATATACCATTCAACAACTCTGTGAACTACTTCCTGGCCACAACTCACCATAAAAGGAAAGTGGTGGATACTGTATGATGGCACTGTCAATTATCTGTCATTATTTATAATGGTGTACACAAGGCTTATGACGAAAAGTGCAACTATGAATTTTAGAACTCTTTAATCTACAATAGCCTATTATTTCTAAGGAAAGTGTACAACCTTTCAAAATACCTTTGTATATTTGTGATGTGCTTAAAATTAAACCTGGATCAGAGAAGGCATCTGTAAGTTTAATGCATAAATCGTCACATTAAAATATACGTACCCCCTGTACAACAATAAAATTGGCCCTACTACTTCCTCTGAATTCCTTTACATGTTCTTCAAAAACCACAAATTGTATCCCACATCTGAAACCAAACATGACACTCTAAAAATTAAGTCACATAATGTATTCACCTTGCAATGGCAACTTCTTTCCACATCACTTGCTGAAATTATAAGAAAATTGATATACCGTACTGTATTGTACCTGTACAGCACATCTATTTACCTTATACCTGGTATACTCAGGTTTGTTAATACAGTACAGCGCTGTATTGTTTAAAAGAATTTAATTTTTTCTTGTTAATATTCTCTAAACTACAAGAGAGCTAGTTAATTAATGGCAAGGCAAACATTGTCAAAATATGAGGAGTAATTTACTAATATACTACAAATTAAATTTCCAAATAGATAAACAGCAATGTTCTTTTCATAATAAATTAGCTGAGCCGACTAACAATGTATATCAGCAGATGAGTTAAATTTATCATGCTGAAGTACACCTATACTGTATTATTCTAACCTTAATGTTTAGATAACTGAAAAATAACATTACAAAGAAATAAAATACTAAAAATCTTTACATGGTGAGGCTAAAGATTATCATCATCTTAAGCATAAAGGAACGACAATACTGTACAGTATAATTAGAAGATGCAACGTAAGTGTTCAATGAATTAACTGAATTAGTCATTCAGTATGTTCGTAAAGTAAACGACCTGCTGAGTTCATAAGTTAGGAGTTCACTTAAGTTTTAAAAGAAAGGAAAGAGGGACTTGGGGGGGCGGGGGGGGTCTTGTTTTTAAGACACCATTGTTCAAAATAAAGTACCTGTACATGAACTAATTCATGAAAGATAAATAAGTTTCTATAATAAAAAATGACAGGAGATGGATAAACAAAAATGATGAATCATTATACTGTACAATTTCTTTGACAATTTCAACATTATATTGTAAGACCTTGCAATATGTAGATACAGCAGCCAAAATGGAAATAATAATTGGAAGGCTTCTTTCAGATCCCACTTTAATATAGCTATACAAAATATATGTTTAAATATTATGTTTTACTGTACAGCCAATATCAACTAAGACTGTTATGTGGATACAAAGTACTGTACAGTATTTCAATATTTAATATGTTTGTGGAACGTGTGTTTTCTTCAGATGAGTGAAAAAAACTAGGCTTAATTAAGGTATTGTATCCTACTCAAGTGTTAGTATTTGTTCCAATATGTAACTAATAATGCTTTATCAGTGGATTATGGTAGAGAGATATTTTGAGGGAATTATCTGTTATTAAACTGCAACTCAAACACCGAGCTGGTATATATGAGTTTTAATTTCACTACCTGTACTGTCAAATATATAAACAATTATGTTATTGGGTGGGAAATGTCTCAAAATGTGGCTTAATGTGAGAAGAGGATGAATGTGAACTCCATGAGGTAGAGTTAAACAAATCAAGTTATTCAAGCAATGGTAATAACTTTCAACATCAGTTTGTACAAAAGTATATACTGGTACACCTAACCTACCAATTTAGCTCCACCCACTTTTGCCTTCCTATACAACAGTTCCAAGTTGATTGATTGTTGTTATGTGACCTGTGATGCCTGATTGGCAAATTAAGTAATAATTTTCTTTATATAGTTTAATATAATGGAATATATCCTGGTTAGAAAACTCCAAATTAAGAGGAAATAAATGGCCTTTAATTTGCTGATGAAGCATCAAAACATAGTAGGTGGCCAAGGACTCCAAAAGTAGGCAGAGTTTAGGTTATAGTCAAATGAGGTGTCTGCAAGAGGATGGGCCCACCTGGCTTTCAGTAGGCATATAGCTTGCTGAACACATAATTGATGTAATTTTTCCTTGTATGAAAATTCCTGTGCTTTAATAGGTATGATTTCAGATTAAACTTTAATAATTTTCTTGACATTTCCTATCTTTAGCACTGTACTATCTTAACCACACTAAAGCATTTAATTAACGGTACAGAAAGACAGATAGGGTACTCTATAAACATTAATCGATATGATCTCAATCACTGTTCACTGCTCATCACTCCCGGCTTGGATCTTGTGGTGAGGCACTATTGCAATACTTTGAAGGGGGAGGTAGTAAGCTGCTGTGCTAATGGTTCTCATGCGGAGACAATGGTTCTTGTCAAATACTGACAGCAAAGATGAGAAAAAATTTAATATATAGTACTGTACATTACTGTAGTTTAAAAGAAATTAACAATAAAATCTACTGTTATACGTACTGTACTTACAAACAATGTGATGAAACTTTACATTTGTTTTGCACTAGAGGTGTGAGTGTTCTGTCTCGAAATACTATGCAATACTGTATTGTATTAGTTACTTCATCCTATGTAACATAAATAAAACATTATTTCCTTTAGCTCGCATGATATTGTACAGTAATGAATCTTTCTCATCTCTTATAATATAAGGAGGCAGAAAAATAGCATTAACTAGAACAGAAAATCATTAAAAAAAAAAAGCAATACTGTACTGGGATAAGTCCCATTTACCCATTTCTTGAGCATGACACCAAGAGCACACACAAAATTCTATTGCATTTGATTGTGTGCAGTTTGGCCTGGAGAGTTGAGCAGGGAGGACTGGCATTTACATGATTATCATTCTTAACCTATGGCTTTTCCAGGCCAGCGTACAAAATTTTTAACAACAGTAAAAGCAGAATGTACTAAATAAACATTCTGGGTAAAAATAATTATAGTGAACATGTCCTTTCACAACAAACTTAATGAATGTAATGAGTATTTTCCTTCATGGTAAATTCAATGTATAATTTTATATTGAGGAAGATAAGATACATCAAACAATAATAAACTTATATTTGGAACCTTGTGGAAGGGAAGCACCATAGAAGAGGAAGTACTGTATGTTATACAGTACAGTGGTCCCTCGGTTAACGAGCACAATTCGTTCCCGAAGGTTGCTCGTTAACCGAAAAATTCGTTAACCGAAACCATTGTTTCAATGGGTTTTTGGGTAATTGGTTCCAGCTCACCGAAAATTACATACAAACGAAAAATAAATGCAATAAAATACACTTACTTTTAGGTGTGCATGTAGAAGGTTCCTGGTTGATGATGATGGGATTTAGAATGGGGGTGGAGAAGAAGGGAGAAGAGAAGGCATTGGGGTGGAAGAGAAGTCACCCCATACTGCCATTTCACCCATAAAATTTTAGTTCACTTGATGAAATTCAAGATTATTTTCTTTAAATTAACACTGCACTGTGCTATAAATTATCAATATGTAAAATATATTTCAAAATGACCAATAATTTGACTGGAAACACAGAAAAAAAGGGTTTATGTTGAAGAGTCTCAAACAAGATGTTCCTTCCTCTGAACCTGCAAACAAACTGACGCCAAGCTTGGTGTGTTGAGTGGCTGTTTGGCGTGCATAAAACTAGTTTCCTGTACTTCAATTATGTTCAATAATTGTTAAAATGACTAAAAAATTTAATATAAAACTTTTAAAATGATTGAATAGTACAACCTTCTTGATAATTACTAAAATGGTAAGGAATTTAAGCTCTAGAACCGATTACTGTATTGGCAGACTAATACGACAGCTAGTGAGCAAGCGAAAACATGTTGAGGGGCGCTCGTAAGGAATTCATTAATCGAGGGATTGCTCGTTAACCAAAGTGAAGAATCTTATGGAAGGTAATTCGTTAACCGAAATTTCGTTAACCAAGGCATTTTTTAACAGAGGGATCACTGCAATAATGATGGTGAATAATTGGTAATTTGCTCTTGATCATGGTCACCCTGCATGAAATTACTGAAGGACTTAGGACAGTGAAAAGACATACATATATTATACAATACCAAAGACAAAAACATACTGTAAGCATAGTACTGTAGCACAGTACTGTACAGTACATTATATTCTATTGCATCAAATCTTTAAAGTCTTATACAGAATATACACAAAATCCTGATGTACTAAATTTGCAGAAATATACAGAGCAGCAAGCTATGTTTTAGAAGTTACCAATCAAGTACCGAGGTACTTGTTTATCTTTATTCAGGGCTCATGTCAATCTTCAGAACTGGCAAATACTTTCTAAAAATGGTAAAAAATAAACTGTAAATTTGATGGCAACTTTTGTATTTCTAAAATGACCCATTTTATTCAGTTACTCATAGTACCGTACTTTAGTATGAAATAACAGCATGAAATGGTTATCTCTAAGTGTAAAACATTACTGTAGTTCTAATGCATCGCAATTGTTTTCAATACAGTACATCTATAAATCTAATGTTTCTATTATGAGCCCTTTACTGTGAAGTGATATACTGTACTGTACTACATACTGTAGGATTTCAAACCTGATCCATTAACTCACCAAACTTATGCCCTTTTTTCATAAACTTTTCTACTCCAAAGAAAAATAAAGGCCTATAATTTAGCACGATCCACGAAAGGAAGACATTACCTCTTGACGGATGTATTCAGCCATTTTATCATTAATTCCCCATTTCTGCCATTCCTTATCAAACTGAGAGACTGTCCCGAAACCTCCAATGTAGCCGTTGATACGAGCAGCGACATGACTCTTAATTAAATCTTCTCCGGGGTCGATGTCGAGGGAGTTCATGAGCAAGCCATGGCGCTGAAGAAGGTATTTCTGATGGTAGCTGTGAGGAAGCAAGATTCATTAAGTACAGACAATTAACTCTGAAATACTAAACTCACTTGTCTTCTCTTCACTACACACAAGTTAAAGTGTTCATACATGGTTAACCCTTCAGCTTTTATAAGACTTGAAGAGGTGCCTCTTATAAATTATAGTACTGTCTTTTCTTCAATAAAATTTCAAAGCATCTATACTGTGTGCAAAGGGAAATGCTCAGCATTTAATAAGGATCTATGAAACAATAGAGATAATACAACTATAAATGCTAAGATTTAAGGGTAAATTTTTATAAAGCACATCATGAGGAAGCACTTATTATGTTAAGAGAATCAGAAAATTATAGAAAATCATGATAAGGATAAAGAATGATAGCAATATTATCAAGATACTTAACCCTTAAACTGTGGCTATTGGTACCTGTCGGGGAAAATATCCTCTTAAAATACTTGATATTTTTATAAAAGTTAAGATTTGCATACAGGAAAAAAGAAAAGATAAATACAGTACAGTAATTTACAGAGCTTACACTTGTTTGGCCACTGTGGAGTGTTTTAACACTTTTGATGCAATTGCCGAACCACATGCAATAAACAACACCTGCGGTAAAACCTTTCCCACCCATACTTTGAATCTCATTGCCAGATACTCATCCCGTTTGATCAGTTGGCATGTACTGAGGGGTCCACTGCACACAAATTATCTCTAGGCCTGCCAGTGTCTACCCACTCATGGCCGATAGCACACGTGTATTCAAGTCAGATTACCTACAGAGTAAGTACCTTACCCTGCTTCAAGTAATCCCACCTGACTATGACAACGTCGGGTATTCTGACTGGACTATCATAACCTTTCGTCAGTTACTGTAAATTCCCTTACCTCAGAAGATGAAAAATTTGAGTGTCCATGTATATTTGTGTGCTTCTTCACTCAAATTATTGTCATATACTGTTAGTTATTGCAAAAATATATTTTTATAAAGTATGATGCAACCTTAGGTAATATACTGTATTTTGTTTAAAATTTTCAACTTTTCCTTTACACTGGGGGTACCTACCACCTACTCAGGATTCACATTGAAAGGGTTAAGTGAGTGTGTGGAGGCCGAGTGAATAGGGAGAGAACGGAGAATGTTACTGTAAGCGATGAATATGCATCTGGTATGATGACAAAGGCAACTGAGAGCTCTACTGAGGTGTGGGTAGCATGAGAAGGTCTACTGAGACACATGATAAGCTTTATGAAGCTTAAAATTTGAGAGCACTCTAAAACATGGGTGTTCTCATACGAGGGATGTTGTACAGTACAATACTGTATTAATTTAAGTGGCCTCATATGAGCAACAGAGCAATTAATATAAGTTTGTTTTAATCCTATGATGGGATAGCAGTAATATACTCCCAAGTCAGTGGATATCGCACTAGATTTTTTCTTCACTTGAGGGTAGTCTTTGATTACCTCATGGAGTTGTGACCCTACCTTGCCAGTTAAGAGGGTACCTGGAAGGCCAACATATGATGCCCAATTTCAAATGTAAACATTGCATTGGCATTAGAGCAACCAAGTCATCATCTTCCTCTTCTTTAGGAGGGCATCAAGGATAGATCAAAAGAGAAAATTAAATACTCTTGCACCATGTAAAAACTTTAAATACTGTAATAGGCTATAGATGAAAGACAAAACTAGCAACACATTTTACTCTTTCAATTTAAAGAGACCCCTAGGAATGTCCTGACATCAGACATGCAATGTAAAAGACTCCTTTCCGGTATTTGTCCACTTCATAGAAAGGATACAGAGGTAAGAGGATAGAAATATAAAACATCACAACTTTCACAGTAAACTCTAGGACGGTACAAAGATATTTAATATGAGACGACTTACTCTTCCGCCTCGTAAAAAGCTTTGGCAGGGAGGATGGAGGTCCTGATGGGGCGTGCAATCTTATTCTGTTCAGCCTTCATGGACTCCTCAGCCAAGAGTTTCTGTTCCTCGTCGTGGAAAAAGATGGCCGACATATACTGTTAGGAAAGATATAAAAATATTTTACAATAATATCTATGACCCCTCCCCCACTCTCTTATGTGTGTGTGTAATAATAATAATAATAATAATTAACGGTTTATTGAAAGAGCATGGCAGCAGGAAGGCTGGAAATATACAGTTACATAATTGGGGAATGGGTCTCTTGATTTACAAATAATATACAAGTAACATAAGTGATACAAATATGATATATAATAACTAGATGGGGAGAAGCTCAAACTACAGGGCATTTCAACATAGTGACAGTGCAAAAAGTAAGATGGACTGGGAGTGAATACATAGGTTGATTACAAGTTATTGATCATTAATTTTTACAATGGTTGGGACTGGGCTGTTCTTATAGCGATCAGTTCGTGCTCGTATGGGCTGGATGCGGTTGTGGTGTCGAACAGCAATTCTCGGATGAGGGATCTCGGGTGGTAGTAGGAGCCGGTGTCAAGGATGGTGCAGAAGCTTCTCACCAAATTTGCAGATGAGGTCATGGTGATGGTCAGTGAGAGCCGAGAGGGTCAGTATGTTTAACGCTTCTTGATATGTGGCTGCCTTCCTTACTCGTGCCAGAGCCAACTTAGCCGGCGGGGTGGACATAGAGTACCAGATGAAGGATCTTTTCAAAATAGGTGTAAGACGACTCCAAGCAGGAACAAAGGTATCAGCAGGTTCCATTACTGAACTTCAGCATGCAGATGACCTCACCCTTGTCGCTCACACTGAACACGACCTACAAGAGATCTTGAACACCTATGTAGATGCGAAAGCACACTTTGGCCTTGAGGTGAATGTGCGTAAGATTCAGATTCTCCTTCAGCCTGCCCCTGGTTCAGCCACACCTCCACCATCCACCCAGCTTAATGGTACGACCCTGTCTAATGTTACCCACTTTCAATATCTCGGCTACCATCTGTCCACCACCTTGGACATCGTTGAAGAGATTCAACATCGGATCAGATGTACATCTCAAGCCTTTGGCAGACTCCGTACCCATGTCTTCAGCTGGAGGGAGCCGAAATTATCTACAAAGTTGCCCGTATATTGAGCAGTGGTCCTCCCCACCCTGCTATATGGCAGTGAGACATGGGTTACATACAGGAGGCACCTCAAAGCACTTGAAAACTTTCACCAGCGTAGTTTATGTTCCATCCTCCGAGTTCGCTGCTGGGAAGGCAAGAGAACAAATGCCAGTATTCTCGCTGACACCAACTGTAGGAACATCAAGACTAAGATTATCCATGAACATCTTCGTAGAACTGGCCATGTTACCCGCACGGACGACAGTAGACTGCCAAAACAGCTACTTAACAATCGGCTAACGAATAGTAAACATAACATTGGTGGGCAACTGAAAAGGTATAAGGATAGTCTTAAGACAAACCTGAACAAGTGTCAAATTGACCCCCTCACCTGGGAGACGATCACTCCACGCTTGGAGGAGCACCACAAGGGAAGGTGTCAATACCTTCAAATTAACCCGACTGCAAACCGAGGCAGACAAGTGCCCGCTCCGGAAAGACGATGCCGCAGCCCCTCCTGTACTAGATGGAGCCATCCACATGTGCAACTTCTGTGAACGACCCTGCCGGTCCCGTATCGGTCTCTTTAGTCACCTTAAAACTCACCAACCTAGGTGACATACTTAATTACTCATATCATTGTATCACAGCTGGATGATCGTCATACAGCAATATATTGTAATCATCCAACAGAAAAAATGCTGGCACCATTATTCTTCTGATGAAACTTAAAAATAAAAGAGAAAAAATTTGCAAAATACACGTACAGGCAGTCCCCGACTTACGACGGGGTTAGGGACCCAACTCCAGGTCGTAAGTCAAAAATGAGAAAATAATATAGAAAATCTAAAATGGGTGTCTCTTTTTCTTCTCAGCACCACAAAACTCTCACTTTTAAGCTTGCCAGCCATTTTAAAATTAATTACAAAAACAAATTTTGTCAGTACACAGCGCAATCACTAACGTCGGGACTCGAATTTTTTTTGGTAAGACCGAGGCGGTCGTATGTCTGGGTGGTCGTAAATCGAGTAGGTCTTAAGTCGAGGAGTACCTGTACAGTACATCATTAAAATGCCTGTTATGAGTCTGTGAGCTTTGCCCGTCTCTCCATGAGAGGAAGCAGATCTTCAGATATATACCAGTAAACACTTAATAATGATGATGTATATTAGTATCTACTGTGAGGATGCACCTGCAATTAACTATAGACAAGGAGCAACTTGTCAAGAGACAATCTTAATATTAGAGAAAAAAAATAGTCCATATGAAAGAAAATGTCACTCTGTTTTCCACTGTTCCTACAAGATGTATTACATTTACTTTACTTTTCTTTCATCCTCTTCACCACTGATTGGCTCGTTAGCGGCTTGTTCGATCGGTCACGTCTCTGTTACACACTGTTAGCAAGTACCAGGCATGCACCGGCTCCTGAATGTACCTAAACCTGCTCCAGTATTGGTCAAGTCTGGTCTTGAAAGAGCTCACACTCAGTGCCGTCACAACACTTTCTGGCAGATTGTTCCAAGAGTTCACAACTCTCACTCTGAAAAAGTTTGCCCTCACAGTTTTCTGGACCTGCAGCTTCTTCAATCTTGAGCTGTGACCCCTTGTGGGGCAAGCATCTGCCAGCTCCAGGTTAGGACACTTGACTGAGTAGTGCCCCTTGTGATGCTTATACGCCTCAATTAGGTCGCCCCTTGCCCGTCTGTAGTAAAAGCTAGGCAAGTTCAGGCGCTCCAATCTCTCAGGGTAGCTGAGGTGCAGGCACCAGTCTGGTGGCCCTCCTTTGAACATTTTCAACCAAATGACAGTCCCTAGCATATCTCGGGGACCAGACCGAGTGACAGTACTCCAGATGGGGAAGCGTTTCACTCTTGAAGATCGTTACGAAGGACGGACAGTCTAGATATCTCAATGACCTTCTTATAAGACTCAATAATTTATTTGTCTGATTTACCTTCTTCCCGCAATGGCCCAAGAACTTCAGTTCATTGTCACCATACACAACTAGGTCCTTCTCACGTTGTCTCAAATAGTGCAGTTTCTTCATAACGTTGGGACATATGATACGCCTCCTTACCGTTGGAGCTCACAGATATCCTTCTGCAGCTCTTCACAGTCTGCTTGGTTCTAGATTTACCAAAATAACTTGGCGTCATTCGCAAACATTTGTATGGAGAAGTGTACAACATCAGGCATGTCATTTATGAAACAAACAAACAACATTGGGCCAAATATACTGCCCTGTGGTACCCCGCTTGTTACAGGTACAGATGATTTCGTGTCATTAATCAGCACACACACTGCTTGCGGTCATGTAGAAAGTCTTCTATCCACACTAGGACATTTCCCCGAATTCCATACCCTTCCAGTTTGATTTTCAGCCTTTCGTGGGGTACACTGTCGAAAGCCTTGGCAAAATCTAGGTAAATATAATATCTAATACCTTGAGCAATTGTGTTAAGCAGGAGCGCCCCAGCATAAAACCATGTTGGCAATCCTTTACAAGGTTGTTTCATAGTAGATGTTCCATCGCGGCATCTCTGATAATACTCTCAAGTACTTTTCATACTATACTGGTCAGGCTCACCGGTCTATAGTTGTTCGTGGAGTGACGATTGCCCTTCTTGAAGACAGGACTCACATAAGCCATTTTCCAATCACTGGAGACCCTTTGTTCATCCATGCATTTACAGAACAGGATCTTCAGGGGCTCGGCAAGCTCGTTGCACAACTCTCTTAGCACTCTGGGATGCACTTTATCAGGGCCGGGACTCTTATGGACCTTTAGCTTTGACAGTTTATTTCTTATACCCTATTCTGTGAACACAATGTAGGTCAGTGCTGTGTCGAACCGTCTGTCCTCAAACGCAGGAAGGTTAATAGCATCCTCTCTTGTGAACACCACGGAAAAAAGCTGTTCAATGCCTCAGCTTTACCCTCGTCAGAATCTGCGTAACTACCATCTTCAAGCCTCAAGTCTGATACTCTTACTCGCGTTTTTAATTTCGACTTTGCATAGCGGTATAACACCTTTGGGTTTGACTTGACCTCGCTTGCAACCAGCCTCTGGAACTCCTTTTCAGCCCTTCTACACACTGCCTTTGCTTGGTTTCTGGCTCTTGCATACATCCTCCTGTCCTGGGTTTTGTTCTTAACTTTGTCAACCGCCGCATGGTTCATGTGTAGGGATCCCCTCGTATATATTTATCAATCAAATGGGTCACTTTACTAATTATGATATTCAGCATAGTGTCAGCATTCTTGTGCCTTAGTGAGTTAGGTCAGTGGATACCCCTCATCTCTTCCCTCATCCCGTCATAATTTCCCTTGTAATATTTCCACCTTAGCCTGACTTTATCATGAACTAGGTAACAGTTAAATCTGAATGACAACACTACATGGTGACTGGTGCCAACTGGGGCTATATGTTCCAGTTTGGCCACAATACGCTCCTCGTTTGTTATAATGAAGTCTAGTGGCTTGGGCGTTTGCTCCACTCTGTAATGTGTCGGGTCTTTAACATGTTGGAACAGAAAATTATCTCTCAGAATTTCTACAAAAAGAATAGTAGGGTTATTCAAGTCTTTTGGGTGTGAACTCGTTTCTCCAGTCGATGTCACCTTAGTTAAAGTCCCCCATGATAAGGAGGTGGCTAGGGTTGAGCATCGCTACATTGTCTATTAAGGCTCTTAAGTTCCTTTGATTTAGTGGGCTAGTCTGGGGACCTGTAGATACACCTGATGATAAGTTAGTCCCCTCCCTTTAGTTTAATTTTACACCACTTGGATTCTTCAAAAACATCCTTTCCCTATACCCTCGCCTGGCTGGCTCTAAGGTCTTGCCTAGCATAGATAACCTCACCCCCCTCTTGCAAGTTTCTTGAGAAAGGTTCGCAAATGAGTCAATCCAGCAATACTGAATTCACATTCCTCTGGGTCGATTCTCCTGCTCTTGTATAACAGTTCTACAACTCCTACAATATCAGGTTGGTGTACCTTCAGTAGTGTTTCAAACTTCTCTCTCTTATCAAGGAACATGTCAGTATTAGTGTACGTATATGACATTCAAGCCAGAATATGTTCTCGGTAATATCTGCTCTTAGTAGTAACTCTGGCCCCCCTCCATTCTCAGAAGCTGCAGCATTTGCTAAGTACACTGTATTTTGCAGGGTGTGGTTAGAAATGTCATTGTTTATATGACGCTCCCCTCCCCCTGTCTGGTAGGCGGAGCTGGTCCCACCTCCCGGATGGGGGGTAGAGCGTATCGAGGATGCGCTGCTGACCCCTGGCTTTGTGTCGCCACACTTGCTTTCACTACCCTCCCCCTGATTATAACCCATGTACACCCGTCCCCGTTCCTCTTTGACTCCTCCCTCTTCTGCTTCAAGCCCTGCAGGAGCTTCCTGTGCTGTTCTCTCTGCATTACCCTGCGATCTGGGTGAATAAATACATTCCGAAATGCCTCGCTCCTTGCTAAGTTTTTGCCTGCCGAATAACCTCCCATTTCTCCTCCTCACTCACTAGTGTGATCCTGAGGGGGCGAGGCTTGTCCCCCCCCCCCCTGCTTTTGTCCCAGTCTCCTCACATCCTGAAGGGTTGAGGGCATATTCAGAACCTCTGTACATATATTCCTAAACTGCATCTTATCATGTGTTATCCTACTCTCAGTTCCCTCCGCCTGGCTCTCAGGGATTCCAAAAACTATTACATTGTTCCTGCACTGGAAACGTTCCCGTTGTTCCTCCTCTCCCCTAACAGTAGGTCCGCTAATTGCCATTTCTTCAACACACTTCTTCAGAGTCCCTAGCTGTTGTAGAACCTGTTCTTTTTTACTTTTATCCTCTTCACCACTGATTGGCTCCTTAGCCTATTGGGCGATCAGTCTTGCTCAGATGAAATAAATTGTGCTAGATCGGTGGATGACACTAGCCATAACGGCCTGTACCCAAGCAGCGGAACGGGGCTTTTAAAGGGACCTTGATGCTAAGGCCATGCTACCAAGACACAGAGTAAAAGAAATCATCACAGTAATAATAAGGATCAATATTATTATTAAACCAACAATTAGAAGTGTTTCTAAAGGACTGAGTGGACATATGATCCATCATTCATAGCAAGATACAGTGTACATAGGGATATCACATATATACCAACAACTCGTCGAGGAGAACTAAAAAAAAGGGGGGGGGTAATCAGAAGATAACAGTCTGCACCCCCACCCCTTCCTAACAGCAACAACCATGAGGGGTATGAAACCTGGGACTGAAACGGCACCAGGAAATCTGTTGACATGTGATTACTGCATTACTCTCCGCCACCTCCCGTGGCCCTGTTAAGGCCTAAGCACAACTACTCTTAGCTAACACCTACATTCTATCGGCTACTTCCTCAGTCTTGGCAAGGATCTCTTTCCCAACTTGTTCAAGTTTGGCAACCAGCAAGGATCCAGCTTCATCTATTTTCATCCCTAGGGAACTCATTCCCCTATGGCTTGCAATTGCCTCTTTCACCTTGACTATGCAGTCAGTGCAATACCAGCAAGAGCCTTCATGCTTTGCAGCAACTTTTATCGTCCTAAACTCTGTATTGGTTAGGTCTGTACCATCTACATCCGTCATCACCTGCAGTAATCACATGTCAACAGATTTCCTGATACCTCAAACATACATGCTTTAATAAATGATCTTGTTCTCCACTCACACTCTTCAGATGGAAGTTGTTCTTTACAATTACATGTACTTTAATCAACTAGCAATCTAGTACACTGTACATAACAGCAATGAATGAATGTCACAGGATGCCTTGCACAGTGCAAGAAGCTTTATGTACAGTAATTCAGAAACTAGCAAATTTTGATGGCAAAATTAATTTCAATCCCAGACTTTTTTTTAACAAATAGCCAAACATATCTACGCACGAGGTTTTTGGCAACGACACAACTGTCTACTTTTTTAGCATAACCAGTAATTTATCCAGTAACGGAACCCCCTAACAGTGGCAGCAGTGTAACCAATGAGGTTTGTATGTTATCATAAGGATGACAGTGCCACATGTATCTGAGCAAAGACACATTTAACAATAAAAAAACAGTAAAATTTGCAAAGTGTAGCATAGCGGGCTGCTTCTTAAGGAAGTGGCCAAGCTCCACCCTACCTTCCAGTTGGGAGAGCATGAAAATGACAAGGAGGCACAACCCTGAGTACATAAGACCAATGTGGTGAATAGTTTAGAGCAAACTTTATTTTGAAGTAGCTTAATCTTTCTTTTCCAAAAATCAAATTCAATCTTTGCTTTGGTCCACTAATCCTTGACAACAAGATATTGTAAATTGTTAATGGACTTTTTATGAATTGAGTTTAATTTTTTATACAAATTATAATTTTAAAATTTTATGGTTCAGGTGATTTTTTTGCATTTTGTTTTTTCAAAATTAACAATGAAAGGTCTTTTTCTGTGTGTTAGTGTTGGGATACAACACAAGTATTGTTACCAGTTCTTAAATCAGTAAAGTGGAGAACAAGTTGGTACTGACTGGAAAGATGCCCCAACACATCCTTCAGGGGTAGCATTGCAGTGCCCTCCTAGATAGACTCCTCATGGGTGGTCAAAAAAAGGGTAGACATGCAAAGAAGGCAGTGAGAGATAAAACAGGTAGTACAGGTATAACACCAAAGGATTAAATAAAGAAGATTCAAGGAAGGCAACAATGCAAAATCCCATGGATGATAGGCTGGACATATTAGGCACTGGAGAGATACCTGTACATCTGTTAGGAGAGGGAAAATAATAGTGAGAAAAGACCACAAGAAAGATATGAATTCTTGATTAGCAATGTTAGTACAGTACTGGTAGAAATGTATTAAAGAGGAAAACAAGAAGGCTTAGCTGTTCTTGTAAGAGATTTAAAGGAAAATGATAGGATAAATAAAGCAATGGTATTTCTGAGGAAGGAGTCTGATATGATAGATTTTGGTAAACCATACTGCATACTGTACTGTAGAATAGAGAAACTGAGCAACAAGAAATACTGTATATAAAATTGTGATGAATGAATCACTTGAGGCTAGGAAATCCAAATATATAAAAATGTTACTACAGTACAATACAGTACATAAATATGAAGAGTGAAATGAGGGTGAACGAAATGGAAAGAGAGTTAGTGGAGAGTTAGGAACTATCAATCTATCATTAAGGAAAGGAATGCAAGCTTAAAGGTGAAGATGGAACTGAGGGATGGAACATGCCTTCTGCCTTGACATGGTAAGAAACATGGCCTAGTAGAGGCAAATTGCTCTAAATTTCAATCTACAGAAAGGAGTTGAGAGAGGAATGGATATGGAATTAACAGAAGGGAAAGTGTGAGAAACAGTGAAGCACATGATATGTTCAGAATGGCTAAGTGGTGTAGTGAGAAAGATTGTCAAAACATAGAATGACAAAGAAAATTAAAAGGTAATGAAGCAATATTACTGGGTAAGGAGGAGACAGCATATGCCTTGAGAGGGAGCTGGATGGAATAGTGGTAGGGCAGCTTGGAGGCTGTGGCCATCCTCTCAGAGGAGCTCCCTAGAGGAAATGTGGTATTGTAGATAAAATGGCACATACCCAGTAATTCAACTTTAACTACATTATTACCTGACGAGTACATTTAGAGGTTGGATCGTGGTACTTCCAGAACATGGACAGAAGAGTCTGATAGTTTGTCTGCTCAGGATCATAGTCTAAGTCCACAGTTTCAGTATGATCATTCCTGTAAGATAAAAAGGAAAACATGACTTACATTGACAGTTTACTTTAGGTTAGGTTATGCAGGGTCAGGCTGGGTTGGGTTGATTTGGCTTAAGTTACCACAAAAAACATCAATGACAAACATGGGTACGTAACCATTCTAATTATTCCACTCAAGCGCTGTTATAATTGACTCTTTCCAACTACTGTAGTTTATAATCTGGGTTAGGTAGAAATTCATATTATACAGTAAATACAGAAAACCCTCAAAAGTCCAGACCCCATAAGTCCAAATTTTGGATAGTCAGGACTCTTTCTGGGCAAGAGACATTTGTCCTAACCCTTAAATATTTGTTGTTTGAAATTCCTGTCGCATGGGGTCACTTTAAATTCTCATCAACGAGCAATCCCATGGCCTCTTTCCTCCTCTTGGACACGTGAGTGAGCAGTTTATTCCCTCACTCTTAGAATGGACTCATCCACAATGCTGCACTGTGATTCGTTAGCTTTAAGTTCAACACACATTCAGCCACTTTTATATTATTAATGATGAATCATACACCATCAGAGGCTGATCATACGAGAATATAAAAATGAATAAATAAAAACAAATGCGAATGTGGCAACAAATAGTCCCACCCCCCACCTTTAAGGAGAGAGGGGGTGTGTGGTCAGGACCGTCAGGGAAGAGATTACAGGGGCAGATACAGGAATAGCAAAATGGGCAAGTCTGAAAAGTTGTGGGTGGGGAACATGACAAGCACACCGAGCCCACCCAGCTGGAGGGTGGCAGGCGCTGTTAGCCCGCCCAGAATTGTTTTTTTTAAATCTGACCAATGTCATAGGTATTTTAAGGCCATGTGCACTTGATATTAGGAGATATTCTGAGGTCAATAGTAATTATGTTTTACTATACAAAAACGCCTGAGTACAATACTGCATTAAAGAAAAAGTATTGGAATTTTTTTATGAAAAGGGGGGGTTGGACCCCCAGGACCACCAAGGATTACCTTCGGATTTGGCTTGTCCTTTTATTTTGAAGTCAAATTACAAATTATTATATTTTTTCTATTATTTAATACAGTGAACCCTCACTTTACGCGGTTAATTGAACCCACGGCGGCCCACGTAAAGTGAACAACATAACATATGGGATTAATTGAAATAGAGACCGGGCCGACCCCCAAACTCCACTTTTTCCCGACACAATACGTACGTTTTACTAAAAATAACATCTTAACTTTATGATGGTATTCACCCACACATAATATAGAAGGGAACAATCAATAAGAGAATAATAAACTGAAGGTTAGGTTAGAAAAAAACAAGGTTGGGGTTAACACTTACGTTAGCAGAAGAGATGGGTCGGCGTAGGGGAATGGAGGCTGGTTCCGAGGCAAAGGGCAGGCTACTGGCCCTCAGGTGAGTCTTCATCGGTGTCATCCACACTTACTAGTGCCTCCCTGACAAATCCCTCAAAGTCATCATCACTGTCTCTGCCTCTGTTACTACCACTGGCTTGGGCTGGCTGTGGTGGGTTGCGGGCGAAGAACTCGGTTATGCCTTGCTGACGAATGGTGTTTATGTTGTCGTGATAAACCTTGATGTAGGGCTCCATAGTCTGCAACAGCTGGGTAGTAAAGATTTCATACCTGTTTGCATCAGGGTTGTCGGAAAGGAGGAGCTTGACTTTCTCGATACACTCGATGGCACCCCTTACATTACTATGGGATAAGCGGCGTTCTTCTTGGGATGACGCACCACCTGCCTCTTCACTGACGTCATCATCATCTACCATCTCGTCGGTAGTCACATCAGGATCCCTTATCACCTCCAGGATGTCGTCGTTGGAGGTCTCGGAGAAGCCTGCAGCTGAAACACACTGCGCAGCTTCTCTGGCAAGGTCCACTGCTACTGCAACAGTCTGAACCTCACCAGTCACAGATTTACTCTGCCTAACACCCGGAATGCCTTGCAACACATGTCTCCATGTGTGACGAACAGTTGCTACAGACAGCTGATCCCATGACTCCACCAAGAAGTCCACAGCTTTCTTGACGTTGAATGTTCTCCAGAATTGTTTCAAAAGTACTTCTTGCTCTGCCAACTGTTGATCCTCGTCGTCTTCGCTCTTGCTATCGGTGTTGGTGTCACTCAGGTTACGCAACTCTTCCTTGGTGTTGGTGTAGTCGTTCAGGAGGTTGAATTTTTTAGCAGAGAATGCAGATTTTACATTACAGATCAATTCTTGGTCCATGGGCTGTATTATAGATGTAGTGTTGGGAGGAAGGAAGACCACTTTTACGTTGGGGGTGACGATCTAACAGAGGGGCGAGTGTCCTGGTGCGTTGTCAAGCAGCAACAAAATCTTGACTGGCACATTCTGTTGCTCACAGAATTTCTTCACATCGGGAACGAAACAGTCATCAAACCAGGAGAGGGACAGTGTAGAGAACATCCACGCCTTACGTTCGGTCAGCCAGTGGACATTTAGCTTGGTCATGTCCATGCTCTTGTAGGCGTGTGGCTTGCGTGCTGTGTGGATCACCGATAACTTGAGCTTACAGGTACCGGAGGCATTGGTGGTAAACAGGACGGTGATGCGCTCCTTCTGCAACTTCCAGCCCCGACACTTGCTGGCATTCTTAACAACGAAGGTCTTGGAAGGTAGCATTTTCCAAAAAAGACCAGATTCGTCCATGTTAAACACCTGGTCGTCGGTGTACTGTCCTTCCTCCATAATCTCACGTAAAAACGGAGGAAATTCCCTAGCCGCAAGACGGTCAGCACTAGCTTTTTCACCACCAATGTTGATATTGGTGATCTTGTTCTTCTTAAACCTCTGTAACCACCCAGTGGAAGCATTAAAGGGTTTGGGCTCTGTAATTCCCATCTTTCATGACACTGCAGCATACAGTTCCCGTGCATACTCCTTAACTGAGCGCGTGTCCACCGCCGTGTTCCGTCGCGCCTGATGCACCAAGCAGCTCACAAGTAATTTTTCCGTCTTGAGAAGCACCTGGTTGTGGAAATACTTGATCATAGAAGCACCTGTAGACTTTGTGATGTTCATGTGCTCCATTATCTTGGCTGCATCCTTCTTAATTGTCCTGATAGTTGATTCGTTAACACCATGCTGGCGCGCGAGATCAACCTGCCTTTGGCTTAGGGCGGCTGGGTCCAGGTAATGCAAGGTTTCTTTGTGGTGGTGGTCCAATGAAAGCATTCTTATGGAACAATGGATACCAATATACACGATGTAGCCGGGAGGGGTGTAACTGACGCTGTAGGTCAAGGGGCTTGAACGCTCCCGCGGCGGGGCACGTCATAGTACTACATTAAACCAATCACAGCTAGCAGGGAGGGAGGTAAGGATGCTTTGCCCAATCAGTCTGCTACGTCATATGACGTCACCGATAACGCAACAAAGACATACACTGCGCAACCTACTCACGCCGCTTACACAATATGGCGGGAGACTTGGATCCAAAAATGGCGCGGCGCGAGAGGACCGCCAGCCGCTCTCCGCGTAAAGGGGTACACGCACCGCGGAAAGTGAGCATTCCGTGTTCGGCAGGGTACCACATAAACGTGGAAATGCGTAAAGTGGGACCGCATAAAGCGAGGGTTGACTCTACTGTATTATTTATGATGAAACATACACCATAAGAGGCTGATCATATGAGAATATAATAATAAATAAATAAAAACAAATGCAAATACAGCAATGGCCAATCCCCCCCCCCCCACCTCTAGCACGTTTATACATGAAAGTGTCATCTCATACCTATTAGCCTATATCAAGGCAGATTAGCTCACTGTACAATATCCGCATGAAAGATAATACAGTATATATTATAATGACAAAGTACTGTAATATATCTAATAAAGAATAAATTAATTTTTTAATGAACTGTACTACAGGTTGTACCTCTCTATTCCGGCATTTTGTGGTCCAGAAACTCCTATGGTCCGGAACAATTTTAGTTTGCCCATGGAGAAAATTAATTTGAGTCTGGTACTTTCGATGCTTGGCTAAATTTTGCTTTATTTACCCTACTTTTTTGGCGAATTACTACCTCTAATAAAGCAACATCCTAATAAACCAACGAAAATAACACAGATAAAGTTAAATAAAAACTAAAACCAACACAGAAAAAGTTCTTATGTTGTACAGCTTCAGCTAGAGTTGAACCTGATGACTTGGCAACTTCGTCATCCAGGTAAAAACACACACAACAACATTGGCTGTCCTTATGTTTTGAACTTTACCACCACTGGTGGGTATAATTTTTGTTTTAAATTCAGAAACATTAATTAAAATATATATGAACAGTAAATAAGTGTTGCTTTCATATTCTTATGTAGAGTGATGACTAGGGCCCGGATAGTTATGCACTAAAAAACCATGAAATATGCATGCAAATATGCACTAAAAACAGGGGAAATATGCATTTATATGCACTAAAAATGCCACTTATAAAGCCTTACTGGAACATGCAAGAAGTAGTTGTTGCTCCTTTTGTGCACTATTGGACTTAACAGCTTCGAGTCGGATGTGCTTGCTTGTTTTAAGGTGTTGTTGGACTTGAAATTTCTTGCTCGCTGTCACTGGTGCTTCACAATATTTACAAAACAGTACACTTCCATCAGTAGTAAATGCATCAAATTCCTTTACATATGATCTCAGCACTTCATTTTGGTTTCTTTGTACTTTTGGCATTTTCACGAGCAGCAGAAGAGAGTAGCTCCACACAGCAGCACTGCTCCTGACTGACTAACTCACTAGTCCAATGAGTCATGACCAGGTGTGGAAACGAGAGATTAAAGCGACGTGACCTCACCTCACTTCACCTAACCACACCTCACCTCACCTCCCAGTACCACGTGTGCTCATTCAGTGGCAACAAAGAGATACTGCCAGATGAATATTTTACCAAAATATGCATTTATATGCAGTTATCTAGGTAATATGCACTTATCATAGAAATCACGCAAAATATGCATTTGCATATGATATATGCAAATGCATAACTATCCGGGCCCTAGTGATGACGATATGTTTTCATGTGTGCGCACTTACATACGTGATCTCACTTTTTTCTTTACCATTAATGGTAAGCTACTTAGTATATTGTTCCATTTATTAACATTAAATAACATTACTGAAAACAACCATATTAATTTTTTACATTAATTTTACTACAGCTACAACCAGGGTCTCATTTTCTTCAGTTTTATGTGTAGAACCAGTCAGTCACTGGTTTTGTAATCACCGAAAACAATGCCGTCTCGTTTCCTCGTGTTTTAATATCCTACGTATTATTAATGAATTGTATAGTTCATTTTGCACACAAACATTAATTCAATCAAAAAGGCATTCAGTAATAAACAATAATGAATCTTTTGTACATAAGAGAAATGACGCTGTTTACACGATTTGTGCACGTCTGAACGTTGGCGGGCCACTCAAACCCGTCAAAATTCGAGTTTCCGCCGTTGAAATTTTGATTTGTGTAGTGTTTTTTTGTGTCCAAATAAAAAACGTCGAATTAAAAACTCGCAAAATTTGAGAGCCTATTGTACAACATTTAACCCTTCAATATGTCTTCAAAGAGACCACGAAGCAGTGAAAGTGGTGCTAGTGCTTCCAAGCGTAAGCACAAGTCACCATCTATCCAGGAAAATGGTAAATTTCCATGGTCTGTCACCGGTCAGGTCCCGAGGTTGCCGGACTAGAGAGGTACAACCTGTACTATATATAAAGGACAAATGTAAAAGGAAACAAACGTGACAATTATTTCACATTAAAATACAAATTTAAGTGTCATCAGGGGCTAGTGAGTCACTGCTTAGTTGCACAGTGGCCCCCAGAACTCCCACTTGATAAAAGTCCGAACAATCAGCAAGTACAAACCACCTTTCCCTCAAAAATATCCAAACTTTCGAGGGTTTACTGCATTGTATCAAATGTCAACCCACATAATCTTTTGCAGATTCAATAATAAAGACAAATATGCAATAAAAACTTAAGAGCCTTAAAAATATGACTTTATTGTTCAATCCTATTTGAAGACAAACATGACCATTTCTTTTACAGGGTTCCTTAACTTTTAATAAATTTCAAATACAGTATACTCAGTGAAGAGAAATATGATATGGCTACAACTTTTTCCGCAACGAGTAGAATCATGCTAGGACACTACAAAAGGTTTGGAATTACAGTACCATGTAAATAAATTTATAAAAAACTCTTCTTTTTCTGAGAAGCCTCAAGGGGGTGGCCATGACATAAGAGTTCTTAACAGAAAATATTCCAAGGCATTTACTTACATATTACGGTAAGTTGGGTGGACCGTGGACCCACCGGCATAGCCTACCCGTGTCCTGATGACTCCGGGGGCAGCACCGAACTGGGCCTCGGGAAACCAAAATCATGACATGCCAAATGTAGCCTTTTTAGTGGCAACATTTGGCTCATAGAGGTCCATTGTTCTCACACCAAAGTTTTTCTGAAAAAAAGAAGCAATAAAGTTATGAGAAAATGGGGAAAGTTATTCAATAAGTGTTTAAATAGCATGGGCAATTTACCAGTACAAGTACTACCTTAAAGTAACGGTGTTTATTACATTTTCGCCCCCCAGGCCCCGATGTGGGTCAGTGACCTATGGCTGGGTGGGCTAATCCCCGTAAAAAAAAAAACTCTGTATGCGCAGACGCTGCTTTTGACTTGTGCACATGAGACATTCAGAGGGAAAAGCTAACACCTCGATCAGGGGTTAGCCTTGTGCAGCGCCCAAGTGGCCCAAATAGCTAACAACCAATCAGCGATTTCTCCCACTGAAAATATGCGGATCATGGCCGCTTATGGAGAATATTTTGATTGATATTGAAGAGTTGGGGGCATGTAAGGCAATAAAAAAACTGTGATATAATAAAAAAATAATTCTACAGGTACATACGGTAGTATGTTGGATAGGACCTAAAACAAAGCGTATGGCGTGAAAAAATTGAATAGAATTGCGCCAAGTTGAAACCAGTTTTGGCTCCGCCCATTTTTACGTGGGCGCTGTCCGATTTCATTAGTCGTTGGTGACTTTGGTGTAACAATATTGAGAATTACTCAAATATGATTAAAACTTTAATGTCATTACTCATAAGATACTTTTAATAAGGGTGAACAAGTTGATTACAGTTCTGTAAGTGCAAAAATTAAGACTTAAACGAACCTGAAATTCGTCGTATTGCGTGTGTAAATATGCGAACACAGCCACGAGAGAAGTGTACAGCTCTTCTGTTGAATGTTACATGTGGTTTCAAAGTCCGGGAGAAATTACCTTTACAACGGGCCCGATTTTTTGTCTTATTCTTATTGACTGATTGACTGTATTTCCCTTTTGTCTTTCTTTCCATAATTTTCTATATATTTTGTTCATTATTTCTTTCCGTATTGTGTCCAAATAACAGTTCTCCTAATTTTATTGTTTTCTGAAGACTGTGTTGTCCAACAGTTATTTCCAAGACGTGGTACAATGTCGTATTTTTTAATGACAGCCTGGGAAAGCTAACGCGTTAACTATTCCATGCATCATAAAACACCTTACAATAAATGCTTTAACTGTACTGATGTACTGCATTACATTAGGTTAGCTGAGAGAGAGAGTGTTGGATGTAAGGTGCATGCTTCTCAATACTGTGTCGCGGGTTCAATCGCCTGCCTGGGTCAGAAGTGAGCTGGGTGTTATCCAGTGTGACCTTACCGAATCCAGTTTCTTCCTGTACTAACACTGGACAATGAAGATCAAAACAAACTAACAAAGAACAGACCAACTGCCCAAACAGTAAATAAGTTGATAAGTGGTAGAAATAGTGAAATGGTATTTTTTTACAAGTGGACAATCATGGATTTTTTTGTTGAGCAGTGTGTTTTTCCGATGGTTTAGACAATGTTAAGACACTTTTTTATTTTATGATGTTTCCCTTGCAAATGACTTAAAATTACCTAACCTAACCTCCTAACCAGGGGTTCCCCCCCACCCCCTGGATTCCCTGGTATATTTATGTCATTTGTGAGGGAAACATCGCAGAAAAAAAGTGTCTTAACATTGTCTAAATCATCGGAAAAACACACTGCTCAACAAAAAATCCATGAGTGTCTACTTGTAAAAATTTACCAAAATAATATGTGTTAGAACACTGTTGCATTATGTTATGTTAGATAGGGGAGAGGATAAGTGCAAGAAAAATGTAGAGCACAAGGACTCTGGAATTATATAAAGGATCTAATGTAAGTAAGTTTTGCTTGAACAGTCTAACTATAGAGGAAAATAACAGGATATCCTTTAAAAATTATGCAATTTCTGGCAACACCATTACTGATGACAGGAAATCTAAGCAACTAAAGCTAACCCACTTTAAATGTCTCTATTGAGCAACTGTATTGTAAAATCATTAAGTGGGTTAGGTTTGGGTCCTTCAACTTTGTTGTCAATAATGATATACGTACCCAGAAACAACATCCTTGTCTCTTCTTTTTAGTACAGTATAACTTTAGGGGACACCTGAATATTAGATACCCCAACTTATTCACCTTAAGATTAACCACCCCAAAGCTAATGTACAAACCTAACCCTCTGGAAGCATTGGGGTAGTTAACCTTCAGGAGAAATAAGCCAGGAAGTCTAATCTTCAGGTGATCCAATGTTTGCTTCAGATGTCTACCAGTCACTAACATACAGTACTTGATCATGGAATCTCTTGTGCAGATCTACACATTATAAAATCAACCTATCCTGACTAAATATAATCATGTAAATAACTAATCTAAGATGGTTAGATTTCATTAAATTACAGTATGTTAAATACATTCATAATTAACTTATGCCATAGCCTTGAGTACAGTACGGTACAGTGACCCCTCGGTTAACGAACTCAATCCGTTCCAGAAGGTCGTTCGTTAACCGAAAAGTTCGTTAACCGAAACCATTGTTTCAATGGGTTTTTGGGTAATTGGTTCCAGCTCACCGAAAATTGCCAAAATTCAACAAAAATGGTAGAAAAGTTCACTTACTTTGAGGTGTGTATGTAGAAGGCTCCTGGATGATGATGATGATGATGGGAATTAGAATGGGGGTGGAGGAGAAGGAAGAAGAGAAGGCATTGGGGTGGAAGAGAAGTCACCCCATGGCACCATTTCACCCATAAAATTTTAGTTCTCTTGGTGTATTTCAAGATTATTTTCTTTAAATCAACACTGCACTGCATTATATATTGTCAATATGTAAAATATATTTCAAAATGACCAATAATTTGCTTGGAAACACAGAAAAAAAGCGTTTAGTTGAAGAGAGTCTCAAGCAAGATGTTACCTCCAGTGAAAACAGAGAGAGACTAACTCCTGTTTGCTGTGTTAAGAGGCTGGATGCCGCGCATTAAACTAGTCACTTTACCTTCAATTATGTTCAATAATTGTTAAAATGACTAAAAAATTGAATATTAAACTTTTAAAATTATTGAATAGTATAAACTTCTTGATATTTACTAAAATAGTAAGGAATTTAAGCCCTAGAACCAATTAATGTATTGGCAGACTGATACTAAAGCTGGTTGCCCGATCAGTGCAAGCGAAAACATGTTGAGGTCGGTTCGTAAGAAATTCGTTAACCGAATTTTTGTTCGTTAACCGAATTGAAGATCCTTATGGAAGGCAGTTCGTTAACCTAGGCGTTCGTTAAACGAGGGGTCACTGTATTCCAAATTTGTGCAGGTTCCAAGACTGCACATAAAACCACTGAGAAAATTTTTAAAAGTTAATTATAATGGATTAGACATTACAATAAGTCACTAACCACCAACCAAAGGAGCCTGAATCCCTTAAATAGATAAAGTTATATTTGGTTTGGTTAAGTCAGATTAGGTTAAGTTAGGTTTGGTTAGGTTATCATTAGGGTATTTAATCATCTGGTAAAATAAGCTTGCACTCCTAATCTTCATGATATGCATAATAACTGAATCATGTTGACAAGTAATGAAGATTAGGTTTTGCTGATTTTAATTATCTCCAGTTGACAGCTCTGCAGTTTTGGTTTTGATATCTGACCACAATAAAGATCTCAGGTTAAATTTAAGAAAGGTTATTTAAAGTATATTATCACTCTTCTCCGGTTTCTGTGAAACAAAATATATATGGAATATAATTTGTTAAACTGGAATTTGTTATGTTCTGTGCATTTTTTAACTCCTGTGTAATGAATTCTGGCAGTGACATTCAGAATTCTGGATCATAAAGACATCACAGTACCGGTATATTCAATTTCTGGATTGTTTTATGTTCACACAAACATGGAATCTTAAGAATTTTATCTTTGCAATCAATAGTTTAGACGATTCTAAGACATTTTTTGTTAATGAAATTTTCCTCGCAAATGACTAATATACTGTATACCTGGGGGGTGGGGGGGGGATCTAAAGAGGTGAGGTTAAGTTAGGTTTGATAATTTTCAGGTCATTTGCGAGGGAAACGTCATAGAAGAAAAGTGTCTTATAATTGTCTAAACTATTTATTGCAAAGATAAAATTCTTAAGATTTCATGGTTGTGTGAAATGAAAATTTTACCTCAATTTCTCATCCATTGTGCAAGCAAATTCTAACCACTTCTAATCAAATGTATTAGAGTGACTGCATTTATCAGGTTCAAAACAACTCAAATAACATGCACATGTATGTTGGTTAACTTCTTTGGATCTTCTGAAGAATAGCCCTTCAGGTTATTTTACCTACCTGTAGGGGCTTAGGTTATGTTAACTTTAGGGTGAACTTTAAAGTGACATAACCTGTGGAGGATACACTTACGATGATCCACATCTAAGGAGGATTATATTGAGGTGACACTAGGATCAATCCACTCCCCTTAAGCCACACACTTCCACTGGATGTTCGAATAAATAACATTAAAACTTCAATTCATACGAGTTAAAAATGGTTATACAGTATGTCCCCAAAATTCTGTAAATAAAGCAGTACAATTTTGGAATTGCACATACCATAAAGGAATAAACATTGTTGACACTTCTGAGTTGTGACACTTTAAGAACAGTATCACATGACATGGCAGTAACTGGGCAACGCCCTTTAATGTGACGTACTGTACATTTCCTGACGAAATAAGATAACACTGACCTAAATTTTGGCTGTAACACTGGACTCTGAGGATAAAGTAAATACTGAACCGGACTTCACGTCTTACTGTACTCGAAGACTAACTGTATCACAGTGACCAGCTGATAGTGTGACTGAAATAACACCAAGATGTCAGAACTTGCCACTCAAGGCATATCACCACCACCGTGATTCCTCAAATTCCAATAAATTAATGAGATTCAAGACCTATTCTCTCGTACTCACTCCTGGACGAAAGAGGTGGTGAACTTGCCGGATGATATTCATATACGTGTTGTGTGGTGCTACACACGGCCACTCTTGCAGTAATGGAAGTTTTATATATATATATATAGTTTCTTGTCAGGGGCTGAGGTAGCTGTGACGCAACACTCCCACGGTCACGGGCTGACACAGATCACACCACCAACTCTTACAGTGTTGCCAGATTGGCATGTCGCGCTATAGCCCAGTTGGCTCAAAATTATAGCCAGTCTTATAAATATAAATATCAGATTGTACATCAATATATAGATTTCATTAGTATATTCTAATAATAATTACTTTCAACTTCAGTTGATTAAATCAATAAATATCATTGATAGCACAAGGTAAATAGCGTCCTCTTCAGTCTGTATAGTGAGTACAGTTCTGTATACTGGAGTAGTAATAATATAATAATTACTATATAACTATGATGGCATGGTTCACATTTTCTATTGTCTCTTCTGACTGGGAACTGGTGAGCTTAACTTAATATAATTATAATAGAATCTCGGTGTAATTTCGGCGTCATTTTCACCACCAACCGGCTGCTTAATTTGTCTCATCTTTCCTGTATATCCAATTGCTAATGTTGTATTAAGTATAGTTAGAATCAAAAGTTATCGAAAACTTGTAAATATAACTACATGTAGATTTTCTCATGTAGTGACAGAATAAGTTGGTGCCTTTACTCCGGCCAGTAGTCAGACGCCTAGCTTTACTATAAACGGACAAGGGGTGACTTAATACAAGTCTATCCTCCCTAGTATATGCAGTAGCACTTCTAACAATGAATACACGTTGTAGCGCCACTAGCATTGAGTATGTAACAGCGTAGGGTTGTAGTGGATTTCTCCGCTACAAACGCTGTTTGTCGCTGAGTAGCCGACCCCGCGAATTCCCCAGTGTATGCCTCGTGGTCTGGGTCAACCAGCGCCGCCTTACATCACGGAGGTCAACTACTAAGCCACGCCTACCCCCGCTATTTAAGACCTGACCTCGTGGTGACCTCTCTCTTCTTCCAGCTATAGCCGCAGCAAGCTACACCTCCTCCTCCTCCTGCCTGGCGGCCCTCGCTCCCGCCGGCGAGCATGGCGACCCACAAGCTGGTCCTCCTCTGAGCATCCTCACCAACCAGCTCTCTCTACATCACGCTTGTAACCACGCTGCCACTTCCCAGCACCAAGCTGCATTGTACATCCAATATAACATGTATACAGAGAGCACATTGTGAGTTTCCTTTCTCCAACCATCCTGAGTGTGAACCCAAACATAACGTACCCCACAGGGTTACCATAATATACACAAATGAGTGAGAAAGCATACACCCGCCCAAGAATAATATTTCAACGCCGATCGCAGAAAAAAGCGCCATAATGGCGATATCGTCATATCTGGCAAACTGTTGGGGTCAATCAACTTTTGGCAAACTCGGTTAAAGTCCTTTGCCAAAGACAGCAAGTAATTATACGAAAATATGTCTTTTTCACTTTATAAAGACAATTATGCAATATTCAGTTTAAGACACTGACATCAGTTGTGAGATGAGATAAAACGATCTTGAGAATAGCCCGACTTATTATTGGAAAGGTATTGTAGTGGATTCCTCCCCTACAAACGCTTGTCGCTGAGTAGCCGACCCTGCGAATTCCCCAGTGTATGCCTCGTGGTCTAGGTCAACCAGAGCCGCCTTACATGACGGAGGTCAACTATTAAGCCACGCCTACCTCCGCTATATAAGACCTGACCTCGTGGTGACCGCTCTCTTTTCTACCTACATCAACCAGCAAGCAACACATCATCCTCCTCCTGCCTGGCGGCCCTCGCTCCCGCCGGCGACCATGGCGACCCACAAGCTGTCCTCCTCTGAGCATCCTCACCAACCAGCTCTCTCTACATCACGCTTGTAACCACGCTGCCACTTCCCAGCACCAAGCTGCACTGTACATCCAATACAATATGTATACAGAGAGCACATTGTGAGTTTTCTTTCTCCATCCCATCCTGAGTTAGAACCAAACATCCCGTACCCCACAGTATACTGGTCCAAGTTTCGAAAAGGTTTCAGTATTATATGTGCAAGTACATATTTAGGTGTACAGTACAGAGTTGCAATAATTCTCATGTGGTGTTAGCTTTCTAAAATTGGTTCCTAAATATATAAACGAATATAAATGCATTTAAAACGAGTACTGCTTATAACTCCTTTGCTTTTAAGATATACCTTACTTTTTACTTTTATCCTCTTCGCCAAAAGAATCGGCTCGTTAGCCGCTTGGCTGATCGGTCACTTTGTGGTAGATTGTTCCAAGAGTTTACAACCCTCACTCAGAAAAAGTTTGCCCTCACAGTTTTCTGGACTTGTGGCTTCTTCAATCTTGAGCTGTGACCCCTTGTGGGGCGAGCGTCCGCCAGATCCAAGTCAGGACACTCGACTGAGTAGTGCTCCTTGAGATGCTTATATACCTCAATTAGGTCCCCCCCTTGCCCGTCTGTAGTATAAGCTAGGCAATTTCAGGCGCTTCAATCTCTCAGGGTAGCTGAGGTACCGAAGTGCAGGCACCGGTCTGGTGGCCCTCCTTTGAATATTTTCAACCAACTGACAGTTCCTAGCATGTCTCGGGGACCAGAATGGGGGGACAGTGTAGTGGAAATTTCCCCTACAACTGCTGTTTGTCGCTGATTAGCCGACCCCTTTTCGAATTCCCCAGCCAACGCCACGTGGTTTGAGGTCAGCTATCAAGCCACGCCTACCTCCGCTATATAAGCTCTCAACCTCGCTGTGACCTCCCTTCTACCTGAGCCCAGCAGCACGCAACACCTCCTCCGAGCAAGTTCCTCATCAACCAGCTCTCTCTACTCCACGCTCCCGAACCAGCAAGCTCCTAACCATTCAGCAGCTTCCCAGCACCAAGCTGTACTGTACATCCAATACACTCTCATGTAGATCCACAATGAAAACGTGGCGTAGTCAAGTCTGGACTCTGGTCTGGTCTTGAAAGAGCTCACACTCGGTGTTGTCACAACACGCTCAGATTGTTCAAAGAGTTTACAATTCCCACTCCGAAAAAGTTTGCCCTTACAATTTTCTGGACTTGTGGCTGCTTCAACCTTGAGCTATGACCCCTTGTGGGGCTGGTGACAATCTGCTAGCTCCAGGTATGGACACCAGACCGAGTAGTGTCTTCTGAGATGTTTATAGGATTGAATTCGGTCACCCCTTGCCCGTCCATAGTATAAGCTATGCAGTTGCAGGTGTTCTAATCTCTAAGTAATTGAGGTGCCGGAGTGCAGGCACCAGTCTGGTGGTCCTCCTTTGGATATTTTTGATCTACTGACAGTCTCTATCAAATCTCGAGAACCAAGGAGGGTGACAGTACTCCAGACAGGGAAGCACCTCACAAGATATGGACCGCCTAGATATCTGAACTACCTTCTTATAAGACCTACTAGCTTATTTGCTAGATTCACCTTCTTCTCACAAAGGCCCGAGAACTTCAGTTTATTGTTAATATGCACACCCAGGTTGTTTTCACATTCAGTCTCTGTTAATGTTGTTTCTTCGTCCTATTGAGACATGATATGCCTCCTTACTGTTGATATGACCTAGTAGCATCCTCAGTACCGGATTAAGGGGTTGGGGGGCCCTGGGCGACACCTAGCAGTGGGGGGCCCCCTGCTGACAACTGAAAATAAATATAGGTAATATCCAAGGTCAATAGAAACAATAAAATCTAGTAATAATGACAAATTTACAAATTATTTATTCCATTCAAAGAAAGTGCACCGTATACATTCGTTTACAAATGCACTTTTCGTGATTTTTTTTCTAGCAAATAAAAGTATCACATTGTCAAATGGAAGTTCTCTTGAAATGTCTGACTCGGTGCTTAATAGCATCAGATTGCTGAGTCTCTCCTGGAGCATCGTGGTCCACAGCCTGTTTTTGATCAGTTTCATTTTTGAGAAGGAACGCTCCCCGGTAGAATTGGAGACCACTAACACCAGATATATCCTCAAAACCGTTTCTACATTTGGAAATGCTGATTGTAAACCATCGTTTTCCTTTATAATTCTGTAATAAAATGACTCAATGGGCTTATCCGCGGCTTTTGCATACAACTTTACCAGAGACGAGAATTGAATCATTTCACTGGAGATGCTTTCATCAATATCTTTTCCCTAAGTTTGCAGAAGATTTTATGAAGCAGAATGAATGGCATCGGCTGACATGGTTTCCAGATTGCTTAAAAAGTCGAAGCGATCCTTCACCAACGTGTATGCAGAAATCCTTTCGTTTAGGGATACCACTAGGTGATCAATGACTGTGAGGAAGCATTTTGTTTGGAAATTGTCTCTTGGACTGAGATCCACTTCACTTGAACGTCCATAATCCAGTGGAGCGAGCCGTTCGTTTGATTGCCTCTGACGACCTGAATGGACAAACTCAGTGCTTCCTGCCAGATCTTTTGCTTTTTCCTCATAGGCATCAAAACTGTCTCGCTTTCTTTCAAGGAAACCAGCGAATTTACTGCTGAATGAAGAATTAGTTTTGGATCTTGAAGAAGTTTGTGTGGTGTAGTGTTCACTTATTTATACAGCCTTTTTATTATTTTATTATAATCTCTGTGTTAAATCAGTTCACCAAACATGAGTTTTAAGAGGAAATATTTGTGGCGGCCTGGTGGAGTTACGGTAAGTGGTGCACAGCGAGTTAGGCAATCTGTTTATTGCTCTATGGTAAAGGATTTTAAAACTTTTTTTTACAATGTTGTGGGCAGGCCCTAGATGTGGGGGGGCCCCTAGATGTGGAGGGCCCTGGGCGTGCACCCGGTACGCCCTCCCCATAATCTGGGCCTGAGCATCCTCTTACACTTCATGAATTTGAACCCTAACAGCCATTTCTTCGACCACCCTGTTCCAGAATTTGAGTCCAAATATCCAGCACCTTGAGTAATTATGTCAAACTTGAGCATCCTTGCATAAAACCACATTGGCAATTTTTCACTGTGTTGTTTCATAGTAGATGTTCCATCATGGGATCTCTTATAATGCTATCTAGTATTTTACACATTATGCTGGTCAGGTTCACTGGTCTATAATTATTTGCCGAGTGGCGAGTGCCCTGCTTAAATATAGGACTCACATAAGCTATTTTCCAGTCACTGGGGAGCTTTTGCTCAGCCAGGCATTTACAGAACAGGATCTTAAGGGGTTCAGCAAGCTCTTTGCACAACTCTCTTAGCATTTTGGGATGCACCATGTCAGGGCCAGGGCTTTGCCAGTTTCTTATACCCTCTGCTGAGAACACAATGTGGATCAGCAATGTGTCACACCGTCTTTCCCATTGAACTCAATGTTATAATAATCCCGATTTATGATATTTTGACCTGCAATGGGCTTTCCTAGAATGTAACCCCATCATAAACAGGGGGATACCTGCATCATAGAGTAACAGACAGTCTACAAACACATGCACACAGACTCACATATAGACACTCAAACATTCATTTCCTTGTACAGTATCGTATCCTCAATTTCTTGAGAAGCATTGTAACTAAGAGTCTGGTAAATAACCAACATGTGAGCCAGTGCATGCCCAGTACCTGCCAACAGTGCGTAACAGAGATGTGACCGATTGCCCAAGCAGCTAACGAGTAAGTGGTGAAGAAGATAAAATGAAAAAAAAACAATGTATGAGTACAGTGGCAGGGTGGTTATCATACGATGTTGGCAGTCCAGTAGTCCCAGATCAAAGAGACATCTTTGATTGATAATTAGTAAGTGTGATTCAATATTTGGAGTACAGGTACCCTGTATAACCACTGGCTTGTCTGAAAAACTCAATAGGCTCATAGATATCCAGAACATTGGAGTACAGGGTATTTATGCATAACTCATCTGTCTATTATGCGTGATGCTGGGCCCACACAACAGACACCAGGGGTTGATTTATAATTCTATGGTGTTCAAGGCAAACTGACTTGAGATACATATGTTATAGTATTGTTATACCCATTTGTGTGCCTCTCCTAGTCTTTCACAAATTAAAAGAGGAAAGAAAGTCCTTTCCTTTCAATCACTATCTTTCGACACAAACTTTCCTTGTAATCTTAATACATAACTCCAATTAATCTTTTACATTCCTTATTTTTGCCAGTCAATGTCTCTAAATTACCAAATTTGGATGAAAATACACTGTATTAATCTTATATCAGTTACATCCTTAAGATAATTTATTTTTATTTTCTAACCTTCTCTAACATACTGTGCCAGGATTAATTTGCTTAAGTTAATGGGAAGTTAGGTTAGGATGGGTTAGGTTTAGTGTGATTAGGTTAGATTGGGTTAAATTGGTAATCCTGGGTTTTCTGTTTCACACTCATGAGGTGGATACCTTTTATCGTGGTCACTTACACTTAATAAATGTGGAGGCAATTTTGAAGAAGCATCCCGCAATAACAAATACTGTACACCTTTCTTCAAGAGCGACAGCAAACACATTTCAGTTCTGTATTTAACACAAATGTTAGGCTAAATTCAGCTGATAAAAAATTTAATGAATAATACAGTATTACAGTAACAATACAATTATTGTTTTGTATTATCACATTAATCATTTGAATAAGTACTATGACTTCATCCCTAAAGAATAAAACTTATTGTACAAAGTACAATGACTTAACTTTTTGAGTAGAACTGTACAAATGATAACGCCTTATGTACAAAAAACATTGTACATGAGGAATAAGTCACCACATGCAAAGGGTTAAGACATCATACTGTAGGATTAAATTTTTTTACTCAAAAAGTTAAAATATTTTAATCACTGGACGACTTCACTCTCCTCTCCTGGTTGGGATTGTACTAAAAGGGTTAACAATATTTCTTCAGTATTTCTCCTCAACACTCCATACCTTGGCATTGAGAGTTGCCCCTTAAAATTTGTAAGAGTCTTAAGGATAAGTAAAGAAAAAGAAACTAATTATTATCTATTTTTTCATAAGGCTTTGGCATTTACACCATTTATATATAACAATAACATTTGGTGGGTACTCAAATGCCTTTGAGCAGAAAATAACAAATAACTATGAAATGTAATTTTTTATTTTTTTTTACGGAGTCTTCCAAAGAGACTCGCATAAGCACTGAGAAATCATTTACACTCTCTCTTTCTACTACTGACTTGTAGTACAACTCAAGACTTCTCCTATTCAATATTGAGCAATGATTACTGCTGACACTCTTGCTACATGCACAATAAACACTAATCCACAGCCATTTGCTTATAAACTCATTGTTATATACAATACAAGTTACATCACACGTAGTTCTTCAAGTCTACAAACTCTTACAATAGGGTTTAGGAGTTGGTGCAATTACTGTATTTCATCAGTAAAGTCAGCAACTACTGAGTTTGGGTAGCTTAAATCTCAAAGGCTTATACAATTTATTTATTTTTCTGTTTCTCTGGACTTTTCTTCATGATTCTTAAATGTTATATAACTCCCTAATAAAGTAATTTATATACAAGTCAAAAATACATAAAACATAAGCAGCAAGTTCTTCAGGTGTGATGGCATATACATTTGTCTTTTTTTTTATTTCTCTTGACTTTTCAATGTATGGTACTGTAAATTTCATATTTTATCCTTACTCCCTAATAAAGTAATCTAATGTATATACAAGTCATATATATATATATATATATATATATATATATATATATATATATATATATATATATATATATATATATATATATATATATATATATATATATATATATATATATATATATATATATATATATATATATATATATATATATATATATATATATATATATATATATATATATATATATATATATATATATATATATATATATATATATATATATAAAAAACACAAGCTCCATTCTCTTCAAATGCGATTATTGTCTCGAATCATAGTAATATCTGACACATCCTAACTTTTTTTTAATTAATTTAATTCATTCCAGTTTAAAAATAAAAGATTATTATTGTATCTAATCATTTCAAACCAAGTCATAAAGAAAATACTGATTATTAAATAAGTCTAGTGGAAAGTACATTTAACTGTAATGTGATTGTTTCATATAAATTAAAGAAACAGAAGCGGCAATAATTCACTCTATATATACAGACAAAAATCAAGGGTCTGATACTATTGTGAGCTCACCAGCGACGGTCTCTTCCACCCCGCCCCCCCATGCTAAAACCCCCTCTTCCTCCACCTCCCCGTCCACCTCGTCGACTCCCACCACCTCCATCTTCCCCGTCAGGTCGATCTCGTAAACTTCTGTTGTAGGGAGTCTGTGGGTTAGCCATACCACTTCCTGGAGGTCTGTTGAAAGGGTTTGGTCCTATTGGCAATCCAGAATATGGTCCAGGCATTGGTCCCCAACCCCAGGGTCCTCCTGGACCCATATAAGATCCAGGACCACTGGGGAATCCACCTGGAGCACCCGAGAAATTGGCTCCACCACCTGGAAAACTGCCTGGTCCTCCCTGAAAGTTTCCGTGGCCTGAGAATGGTCCACAAGAACCTTCTGGTCCAGCGGGATCTGGTCCACTTGGTCTGGCAGCCCCATTGCCTTCATGTGCTGCTGAATCATCTGCAATAAGTTATTTTGAATTCAAAAAAGTCATATCTTGTTATAATAACTTTCAAAGTTAGTCATAATTCACAGCACATATGTATGTGATCATACTATTATATTGTGAATCTTTCAAAGAGGAGCACCAGAGCTCAGTGGTAGCTTCCTATCCCAAAATACAAGGGGTCAATCCCATGTCAAAATGCAGTTGGTACGATTTATCCACTAGTGTGTGCTGAGTTGGTCACTTGTTTTCAATGCCCCAGGCAAAGCTAAACTTTCTGGGCTCAAGGTTTCCAGCCTTTAAATTACAGGAAATATTGTAGTGTAAAGAATCTTACAAATGAAGTTGCATGGAATTTCAAGGCAAAGTACAGCTGTTCTGTAGTTTTGTACTGTATCAGTCAATATAATCAATGAAGGTGCCAATACTGAACAATACTGTATATTTGTACAAGTTAGTTAATAAAGCTTTAACAAATTAATCATCAACATTTGGCAGTAAATTTTATGTGTTCACTGTTAATAAGAGTTAATAAAGTACATGCACATCTGTACTTATGTTGACAAGTAAATGATTTTACCTTGAGTTTTCCCTCTCTGAGAATATTAAGAATCATACTCACATGTTACTCAAAATATTAAAGGGATATTACTGTGGATAACTGACAGGTGGAACATCTACCTACAGGCTGTGTAATGGTTTTATAAACTTACTCCACTACATTCTGCATAAGGGTGCAAAAAATAATAAAAATAAATATTAAATTTAAATATACAGTATACTGTAATTCACAATGGGTAATTCCATGGAGATAAATGAGACAAGAGACACAGGCATATGTATGACTGGACTGGTTTTTAGGAGATGCTGGCTAATGTAAAGCGGAGGAGAAAACAATACTACAGTATTAAACTAAGTTCTATATTGACGTTTCATATTTCTTGCATTCCATTTTGTACATACTGAGGGGTATGCAAGTCTTAGGCACCAGTTAAAGGTGAAGAAAGGTTAAGTCAGGAGGTATAAATAGTGCTGTAAGTAAAATAGTTGCTGTCACTGCTATGAAAATTGGAAGCCCCATCTGGGGGAGGGAGACCTTGATTATTTAAAAAAAAAAAAAAAAAAAACCACTCATCTCAGTCTCTAACATTTTAAACTCATATTTCACATTCCTATATCTCTCAGAATTCTATAATGTGACTCCAGATGCTTAGATCAGAATACAAAAGTGCACCTTCTTTTTAACCTAAATTGTACCTAGTCTTGGGACAACTCATTCATTCTCATCACAAAATATTTACCTTCATTAAAACCTCACAATATAAACTTATTAGGCACACAAGCAGTGTATAAGGAGACCTAACATTTGTATGCCATATTTTTGTAGCATTGGTTTGTGTGAAGTTTTCTAACATATGTCAGCCTTTGATAGCTTCATTCACACATTCTGCTTATACACAAGAGTAAGCAGTGTATGACAATGAACCAAATCAATATTGGAATCACTGGAAGAAAATTAATATGATAATAAGTGAAAACTGATTCTCCAGGTGACACTCCGACATAGGTCAAAACAGTTTAGTAACTTACCTGCATCTCCACTAGATCTTCGAGCTGCCTTCCTTTCATCTGGGGTAAAAAAAATTCTACATATTAGAATATAAATGACCTATGTTAATATATACTCCAAGACGGAGCCTTAATGCTATTGTCTTGTGGAAAGAAAATAAAAAAATATATACTGTATAAACAAACATACAGATGTATGAAAATAATAATCAATAAAAATTTAAAAGAAAAAAGGGACTGAGAGAAGATAATCTGGAACACAGCAGCCAGCTCCCTGCAACATTGGTCAAAAAGAACAACACCAAAAGGCTTCTTCAGTATTTTAATTTATGAAACTGCACCAGCAATAACCACAGAGACCAGCATACTAAATTCTAATTCATTACTGACTAAGATAAATCTGAAATGGTCTTAGTGGTAAAAATTAAAAATAAAAATGAAAGCAAAAGTAACACTGGCACCTCTGGACGTTGCGGGACATCCTGAATAAATTAATTTGTACGGTAATTGAACAAATAAAAGATGGCCAAGTGGGAAGGTTTTCGTGTGTTAAACATCACCTATGTGATGGTCTACAGAGCTACAGAATAAAGCAAATAAGTTAACTAGGGTTCTCCAAGGGGAAATTACAAGAAGGAAAAGTAACAGACTACATTAAAGAATCATCATCACTTTGGCTGAGCTGCAATACACGTCACTCAAATGAAAAGGTTCCTCCAACGCCTTAACACCTGCATCTTGCTAATGAATCTTAAAATAAACAAACAGGAAAGTTCTAGGACACAGTACTGTACTTCTTGAGGCCTAAATGCATGAAAATTATGAAAAAAAAGGAGCTATTTCTTGCACAGACTAGAGAGTACCTATCACAATGCAGACATAAATCTAACCCCCCCAAAATTTAAGAAATAAATATATAAAGGTTAAAACAAGCTTGGGGTGAGCATGTTATCATTCCCATAATATACAAAATACAGTAAAAAAAAAGAAAGTCCTATGGCATCTCAGAAGTTTCACTGGCTTAACAGATAAACTTGGAGAACCTCTACTACCTCGGCATTACATCTGAAAACATCTTGTAAAATCAATGAGAAGACTATTTCTCCTATAATTTATCAATACTGTACACTAAATCTTCTACTTCTATAAAACACTAATTAATGCTATATACTGTACTGATATACAAGCAGCTCCTCACTATAGTAGAACCAAATTTAAAGGGGGATAGTGGGGGGATCAAAAATGTTTTGAGCTGGCTATATTAGAAGCCATAAAAATCAAGTAATACATGCCTAAAATTTGGTAAAAGGTTGACAACATTTTATAAAATAGGAGAGGGCAAACAAATACAACTGCCTGAAGGGTGCAAGAGATATCAGTAGTAAGAAAGTCTGTTTGGAGATTTTTCTTGGAAAAGAAAGTACTTATGAGTATAAGGGAAGGAAAGACTGCATAAATTGCAATTCTTCAGCATGCTCCTAGCCTGCCTTGGTGTTCTTAATAGGACATCTGCAACAGTGGTTATGCTCTGCTACACTCCTCCCCTCGCACCCACAGCCTCATTACGTCTGTTAAGAGAGAGCAGACAGATGAGTGGGTACAAACCTTGCGGGCTACATGATCTTTGTCTCTTCATGCCGGGCTCTGGGGTCTCCTCCCGCCCTCTTGCGGTTCCCCCAGCACCCTGCAGGGCCTCGGCCGGAGGGGGAGGGGGTGGTGGTGGCATCAGCAGGGATGCAGTCATATCTCTGGCCACCCTAGGGTAGTAAACGGGATGCAAATTTATAGATGGCGGAGGTTCAGCCTGGTTATCTTCTCAGACTCTTGGAGTGGAACATTACTGAACAAACTGTGGTTCTTGTCACACAGGTTTCTGAAAGTAACTTGAGGGAATGTGATAGCAAAGCACTTGGTCACATATGCAAGTTTCTACTTTTCACATCCACCTGTTGACTTTCGTGGTGGTTGATCAAGATGAGTTTTTCAATAGACCTTGTTTCATATGCTAAAAATGCATTTAACAAACCTATGATGCACCAAAAATAATGAGCATAGCGAGGCTGAAGACAATCTACCACTTTCCAAGCAAAAACCTGAGTAGCAGCAATGGTCAAATTTGTTGTCAAGCACTGAAATGATGCTTGACTTGACTCTCTAGATCTAATAACAGAAGGCAATGCCTATTGTCCTCTAGTGAGTAACATCATTATTATTACCACATATCAATGTCCAACAACTTCATTGTGCGCTGCAGCCAAGTAAGAGCAATACTGGCATAACATGATACAGCTCAGCAGTTCAATTACTGTCACATACTGCCAATGATCTTTCTAAATTCATGACAGGTTGAGTCTGACAGCAACTACTGAACCCTCGAACATCTCATGGAAATAAGAGTCACATTTAAGAGTGAAGAAACCTGTAACCTTTTCATACTTGTGTAGCCACAACTATTCTTATCCAGATGTAAGAGTAGCTTTGTTATAAAGTATTAGCAGAATTAAGGTTTCATTAATTAAATATGTCTTGGTTATTTTTACATGGGGTTTGGGGACTCAGCAGCCATTATTATCACTCAGACCTATTCTGAATATGGAAAACCCCTGGCCTTGCTATCATGAAAAGAAAAACAAATGGGAGACAGAGAGAGAAAGAGAGTTTCCAAGTAACAAGCAGCTACAAGCCTTTCACTTCTTGTATTCCTGCTCTCCATGACATATAGTAATTAATGTGTAACTGCCAACCAATTTAAAGCTTATGGGGACAGTTCTCAAGCATGAATTTCTCAAATACAAATTAAATTCAAAGAATCAAATCCTGCTGAAATCCAAACAGTAATTAAAACAATTGGGTAATATTATAAAAACAATTTGAGAGAAGACTCTTTTGTTCATTTAAATATCTTAAAGAATTGGGGCAGGGGAGGGGAGAGTGGAGGGAGTATTTTGTCAGCATCTGAAAACACAGGACAGACACCTACATAAGGCATAACAAAATTAGATAATATGCAAAGCAAGTTAAAAAGAGTACAGTACTGCAATTAAAGTCAGCATACCATAAATCTTTAACAATGGTAAATCAACTGTAACTGAGGTCTCCCCATGGCCATCAGACCTAAGGAGATACAAAAGGTCTCTTCATGGACATCAGACCTAAGTAGGTACAAAAGGCTGAATCGGTTAATAAGCATGCATCTAGTTACCACTTGGTAAACTCTTGCCACATACACGAGTCATTATTGTATGGAAAATGCTATTTACTAAGTTTATTCCAATCCAGTGGACAAAGTTAATGCCAAGACAACACAAAAATTAAGTGAATTTAGATAACTAAGTAGTCTGAGGAATACAGTACGTATAGTTATTAACAATATTATTTCGTGCAAAAACTATGAATGATTCTTACAATCATTTTTCTATAATTAATGAATTAATAGAAGATGGTAAGTGAGTTCTAAAAGCTCTCTTTCCATGTAGTCTGCATTACCTGCTTCAGTTCCCTCATGATTAAGAGACAATAACCATGGAAGGCTGTGACCCTTCATCAGTATCATACCAACTACATCTCATACATTTGGAAGGATTCACAGTAATGGAATACTGTATCAAGTTTGTGAATCAAACCCAAATGAAAAGATGGAAATTTGTAGTTTAACATCTCTTAATGTGGCTTTGACTTACATACACATATTATACATACAAGCTATAGACAGCAACACTGAAATCTTGACATCTTGATATACATGTAGAACAAAATCCTCATCAGAATTCAAGACACAGGGTGAAGAATCTTATAAAAATACCAGTCCCTGTCCTAAATGGGTGGTGCGCATGAGGTACTTCTATCATGAGCAATAAATGAGGTAATCCCAACAAATAGTACAATAATTTCTATGTCACAAAAACTAAGCTCGACCAACTCTGTAATACTGTCACCACACGGGCATTACTGTACCTCACTGCAAAACTATACCTGCGTTTGTACAGCATTTTGTTTATATTTCTGATTAAAGCATTTGAACGTGAATCAGACTCAAATTCAACTGCCCACATTTATAATGCATACAAAAAAATAAATAAATAAGCAGAGAAATTATGAACACATGCTAGCAGCCTTCTCATTTTTAAGTGGCTGGAGGATTTTCAAGCAAAGTTGTATATTTCTTAAACTGAGTCATCCATTTTACCAAGTGGAGTTCTCTACAGTTCAAACTGATTCATTCATTTTCAACCTGGGGCATCTACTTTTCAAAATAGGCTGTTTATTTTTCAAGATATTTAAAGAGAATTTAAGTTTACAATACTTTTGCTTGTCACAGTTACCAGGTAGCTACCATCTGGTAAAAGAATGGAATCTTTCTGGTCTCAGAAAATTTTAATAAAATTACAATTACATCACTTGAACTCCTATTTGGAGAGGGCCACAGAAAAACCTGTGTTCTGGTACATATATTACTGTTACTGTAAAGTACTGTACTTCCTAGTCACCTAATCTAAATGCTAAATGAGAAGGCTGAGCAATATATTGAAAACATACACAGAAAATATCTGGAGCAAAGAAAAGGGAATTTTCTGAGGATAATTCAGGAAATAACTAATCTTGGGAGAATTGCTGGAGTGGATCACAGGATAGCAAAACTGTAATAAGAAGGGGCTGATACAAGATGGGGCTGTTCTAGGATGATGGAGTCAGGGAATAAGGTGGTGTATTAGAACTTCCATGCAATTATATGATAGGACTGAATCTATTAACTGTCAATACAGTATATAACAATACCTTTTCTTTAATGCAGTATATTGTACTTCGGAATTTTTGTACAGTATAGTAAAAAGTAATTAGAGGAACTATTGACCTCAGAATATCTCCTAATATCAAGTGCACATGGCTTCAAGATGCCCATGATATTGGTCAGAAAAAAAAAAAAAAAAAAAAGCCGGGTGGGCTCGCTGTGCTTGCCATGTTCCCCCGCCCACAACTTCTTGGAACCCCCCCTTTTGATATTCCTGGATCCGCCCCTGCAGTGTTAAGGTGTACTGTATCTGAGGGTGATAGTGAAAGGGTTGGGCTGAAGAAAGCCAAAGATAGGAAATACTGTACATATGGACAAGTATATCTCACTACCCAATGCTATTGAGAGCAACAAAAATATAAAATAGGTAGGCTGATATTTTACTGGATATAATTATGCCACCCACGGTTATTGCGTCACTTTGAGATCTGACAAGTCAGTCAAGCGGTTATATTAGTCAGCAAAAGGTGGAAATTCTTCAATGGATACCCGAGAACAAATTCTTTTGACAAATTATCTAATTAACTGAGTGCAATTGAATAAGTTGAAACTTATTTTAATTGGAGGGTAGTTGACAAAATAAAAGATGGAATACTGGGGTGTTAATTTTGGTCAGGCTAAGAATATGTTAGGTTAAGAGTATGTTAGGTTAATGCATGTAGGGAGAGGAATAATGTGCAACAAATGCTGGCAATCTTTCAAAAGAAACAAGTAACTTGACTTGTTGTTAAGAGTTTAAATGACTCAATTTTTTTTTTTAAATACCGTACCATGATCCTTCAAAGTTTTATGGTGACTTCACTGAGAGTACATTACAGTATACTAATATATTGGAAAGGATAGAAATCTGTTGCATGCATTCAATCAGATAAACCTAGCATATAATGAGAGTTGAGGACAGTTCACATTTAGTGTAAAATATGAGTAAGGAACTCTGCCTACAGCAGAAAAATTAGAATAATGCAGATTATTCTCCTCTGACTACTGTTTATAGCAGTGAGGGTAACATCTGCATTATATTTACATAATATAGCTGATCTACTCGGAATTTATAATACTGTATATATCTACTGTATTATGAATCAGTGCTTCCTATTCCCCATGACTATAATGAAATCTAAGTGGTGTGGGCAAGCCTACTAGGCTAAGCTCCACAAAATTTACCTTGTCACTTAACCCATATAACTTGTTGGCTCCAAGCAACTACAAGAATATAGACAACAACAAATACTAAGACACTGATGCCAAGAGGGAATACCTGTGCTCACACACACATAATTTCACATTATCAAAAATACCCCTCATCTTATAATGGCCTGTCCAAATCTCCAGATACAGTACTTTGTTTTTAATACCTAAGTACACTTACCCTTCCTGACATTATACAAATTCCTCTGTCCTGTTGTCTAACATGTAGTCCAGTATAGTCTATCTACTCTTAAATTGTTCCATATATGTACTGTATTCTTGATAAATCTCAAGATAAATCATCATCAACATCAGCCTGTATTAACCCCTAAGCTTTGGGCTATGGTTGGCATCCCCCCCCCCCCATGAGGGAATATTTGAGAACATTTAAAAAATAATTCTAGTCCTACATACTGGCCATGCATGATAAAAGCAGGAAATAAATACATGTCCTTCCCAAAGGTTGGCAACACAGAGGCTAGGAAGGGTCAAGAATGTTTGTGAGATGGCATGTGTGTGATGCAATAGTATGAGGTAAACAATACTAATTTGTAGGCAGTATGAGGTACAGGACACTTGTTTTATTATGTTATTACTATTTACACCATTAACAATAATTATTAGTGCTCCAGTAAATGATCACGATACAAGACATGTCCTTGGAAGGTTGGGGGTAAAAACACATGGTAAAGTGAGTCAAGTCTAAGGGCAAGATTCCTACATCACAAAAGCTGAGAAGCTACTGAGAAAAGACTGGGAGGCTCTCATGTGTGAGCGAGT